TCGCGTGACACACGATGAGTAGAGCTGTGCCAACTATTCCGGGCGAGATTCGGTCCGACTCAAATTTTCACTATTTCAAAATTTCCAATCTAGACAGTTCGAATCCGAATCGTAACACCTGAGTCGTTCCACGTAAACCGGGCCACCCGTCTGCCCGGAACAGATTACAATTAAACAATTTTTTCGGAGGTGCAAAATTTACTTAACAATAAACTTTCGAACGCTAAAAATTAAGATACGTAATGGCGGATCCAAAAAGCGTCCGTATGGACAGGTAATTGCTGTTCTGGGCAGACGAGTGGCCCGGTTGACGTGGAATTACTCACCTATATCGTTAATTTTATAGTAAATACGAAGGAGGATTGAAAAGTTTTGAGCCTGACGTGGAAACAACTTTTTCTCGGTCAAACTGACTTTTATTTTTCGACATAGTCTCCTTTTAAGGCTCGGTTTCACCAACGTCACTTAATTTTAAACTTAGTTTAATTCAAACATGATAATCTCTTTAGGTTGCCAGTAATAAATAACAATGGATCAGTTTAGTCGAACCTAACTGGCACTTGTTTAATGAATTAAAAATAAAAAATATATTGTACATATTTTATTTTGTGCCGTTAATTGTACAATCACGACTCAACTTTGTTATAATTTTTTACCGTTCAATTACATATTGCAATGACTCGATTAATTTTTAAGGTAAGTGACTGGTCGAAGATTTAATTTCAAGAGAGTTAGTTACGTTATCCACTTGACAAACCATATCTTTTATTGTACACGTGACATTTGATTGCGTCCCATTTTACACATTACTTTTGTACAATTAGTTTTAATTTTTAATTTTTATTTGTCATTTTATTTGTATCTATGACAAGCGTGTGACTCCGATTATTGATTTGCTCCCTTTTAGAATTTGTGCCTGATAAGGACCCAAACCCGTGGTCGAAATGTCGCACGTTATATTTTTTATTTTTAATTTATTAAACAAGTGCCAGTTAAGGTCGACTAAGCTGATCCATTGTTAGCTTAATTCGTTCTTTGTCTCTTTCCAACTGTTGCTTTAGAAAGAGACAAAGAACGAATTAAGCTAAGCTTAAAGTTAACGTTGGTGAAACCAGGCTTAAGTCAATACACTTAATCCAGCGATGCTCCAACCGCTTTAACCCGTTCAAATAATAGTTGGCGTTTTGCTCTGCAAAATAGCATCGATAGGTCGCTATGACCTGCTCGTTCGATGAAAATTTCTGTCCTCCGAGCCAAACTTCGAGTTTAGGAAACAGAGAAAAGTCACTCGGGGCTAGATCTGGTGAATACGGGGGGGGGGGGCGGTCAATCAGTTCGAACTGCAATTCGTGAATTTTGGCCCGATATTCGATTTTTTCCATGCTTACGAAAGTACTAGCGTTCGCTGACACAAACACGACTGTCGTACGACAACTGAGAGTCCAAAATGGCTGAAATTTTCAGAGGTATCCTTCAAAGCATGTACAGTCGCAGTACCGAAGTGGCGACGACAAGTAATATCATCTTCATGTCGCGGCTCAAAACTTTTCAACCCACCCTCGTATTACCAGTCGGCCACGCAGTGAAACGTAAACGGAAAAAATATCATCTCGTTTTATATATCCTCCTCACAGGACCTCCGGCGAGTTAAAATATCAACGAAAACCCTACCGTAATATGTTATGCTGTAAAAATATCATTTAAAAACTTGTAAATCGGAGGAGTTACACATACATATTCGTCCGAAAAATCGTAGCGTCACTCTGAGATTAACATTGTAGCGAGGAATCTGTTTGTCACAAGTTAAAGTAAATTAAAATGCAATGATCTCACCGATGGGCTGTACGAAAAATAATTTCCCTCAGCTTCTGAGAGATGGTAGGAGAGATGTTAGTTGAAAAAAAGCAAGGAAGAGCTAAAAGAGACGTATATTATAGAATCGTATTTCCCGTCAATAAGTAATAATGTTACAACCGCTTACTGAGCGGCTAAGTAGTAGAGTAGATAGAATAGAGTGTAGAGAATAGATAGTAATAGAGTAAATAGAAACGTGATCCTCGCTTTTAGATCCAAGCCAAGGGGTATATCAATAATAAATGAATCCATGATTTTGTTTCGATTACTATGTACAGAATTGAATAATGTTACTGAATGCTATTATAGTATTTTAATAATTTACCCATGATCTTTCGTCTAGTTGCTTCAGTTACTGCAACATTAAATAAAGTACATCATTTTATATTAAATATTTATTTAAATGTCTTTTTACCTTAAAATGAATTTATATTGTATGTGTAGTATTTTCCTACATCAAATCATTGTCATCTACGTGTAAAAATTCAATCTAATAATAATTCTATCGTAATTGAAAATTATATTTCAACAATTTGATTTGATTCGATTTGCTCCGATTTAGTGGCGAAAATGAAAACGAAATTCGATATGATTTGATTCGACATGAAGAATCCTTAATTCGCACATCTCTAGAGATGAGGCGTTGTCCGCGTGCAACAGGAAAGATCACGTAGTAGAAACTTAATCGGAGTCTGTTATCAACATTATTATAGAAGCGTCTGTTAAATCCGCCTAGATGTTGTTATGCTAAACAAAAGTTCAGTTTTCTGCTTAATATTTGATCCGAGCACCGAAGGTTCGCGATCATAAAACAAGTAAAAATAAGGGAAAATACGAATCGCACAAACTACATATGTTCTACCCATGAGTACGTAATTTCCGATGAGTTCTCTTTTCCCAATGTAGCAATTATGATTTTTCGAAAGACCGCGTATATCCATCGCGACATACGATAACGGTAATTCAGTCCAAGTCACACAAGTTGAGCGCATATGCGCGCCCGCACGCATACACGCTTACGATTATTATCGATCCGCGATAAAGTCCGTGATGCATCGGATGGAAACGACGGGCGCGTTCGCTCGGCGTATCGCGATCCAACCGTATCCAATCCCGCGAAATGCGCACCTGAGGAGACGCGCGTGAAAAAAAAAATGCATTTCCTGTGACGGCGGTGACGACGCGATCCGCATAAATAAACGGCAGAGATAAGACTAGAGCGCGGTCGGGCGCGGACGTCGTGAGCAATTAAACGAAATTATTTATGCTTATGGATCGTTTGTCCGCGTTCTAAAGAAATACGCCGCGGCTGCGCCCACGCGAGATCGGCCGACGCGTCCCTTACCGCCGCGAAGAACCGCAATTGTCGCTCGTACATTATTAAAACACATTTCTCGATTGGTCGCGCAGTTAATAATTATTCGTTAATTACAGAGTGTGCCGGAAAGATACCACGCACGTAGGATTTAAGGTGCTTCGTACGGACCATGGTGTAAAGATACAAGATGAAGTCATCTGGTGGATGCGCAGTGTCAGCCAATCAGAAGTGGCCCAGACCGTAGTATAACTGCAATAGTACACCCACTCTCTGTCGGTCCCATAGACATATACAGGCATATATATACATAGAATAAATATTTACTTCAGTATAAAAAAATTTAAGTAGATCTATTTACTTAAAACAAATTTTTTGCCAGAGTGTGATATTCCGCCATTACTTTAGTATGAAATCCCTTCACGCTGTCACACTACTGCATATACAACTACCACACATATATAACATCCGTCTCATTGGCCACATCAAAATAATGGCGGATGCGCAGAAAGGATCGGCGCAAAACAAAACAAATGACAGAGTGGGCATACTAGTATGGTACAGACTATCCCGTACTGTTCGCGTCTCTCCTCGTCTGCAGATTTCAACGGCGTGTCGCGATACGGCATTCTCGTAAAAAATGTTCGCGATGCGGAATCACGCAACACGAACAGCGAGAATCTCAATCATCTTTTTCTCTTGCAATAATTACGTTATTAATAATAAGCGCGTTAACAACCAACGTGTGTTTTTCCTCGAACTGTATTCGAGGCCGTTCTTGCTAATTGTAAGTTATTATTATCGCACGACGATAACTCCCTGGGACTTTCGTGCGAAAACCGCGCAAAGAAATTACGTGTGTTCTTATCTGTTGACAAGACAACTCGTACGATCGATTATCGTGGGAGAGGCTTGAAACGCCCTCCTTCCTCCTTTCATTCGCGATCGGCATTTTTTGTGTTACCAGCGAGTATGCATGTTTTTACGCATTTGCATCTTAATCTATTGCATTTACGCAATTCGCTATTCGCTATGAACAGCATTTAGCAGCATCGCGCAGATATTAAGACGGGCTTCTTCGTTTTTCTCTTCAATGCTGTACTTATGCATTTGTAAAGCTTCGTAAAGAAATTAATCCACTTAGAGGAGTGTAACGTATTTGCGTACATATGTAAAAGTAAACTGTGCCGTTAATACTTTCATTCGTGCGTCGAATGCAAATCTAAAAAAAAAATTACTTTTATTAAGAAGCGCTTCGGAGATGATTACAGAGTCTCACTCGAAATGAACGAAAGGAATTGAATTGTAAATCAACGAGGACACCGAAAAGAGGATCAACTAACAAAGTTGCGGACGGCAGTTCAATAATAAGATCAAGAAGAGAGACCGGACACGTCGCGATGCAGCGAGATCCGCGAGAGCAAAGTAGACATTTCCGAGTTTATCCAGGCTTTGTCTTACTTGGTTGCGGGATCGTGCAGCTCTTCAAGGGAATGAATGATTCTCAAGGGCTCCTCGATGAGATTCGCGTAAAAGAACGGTAAGGGCCAGTTTCACAAACATCGGTTAACTGCCAACCGAAGGTTTTGATTCTCTGTCTCCTCTTAAATAGTAAGATGGAAAAAGATGGGGAGTCGACTGAACCCTGCAGTTAACCGATATTTGCGAAACTGGCCCTACGCGAGTTAGAGAGGGGACAATAATTGAGATTTCGAGTGTGTCGATTATTTCTCAATCGGGCAAATGGTTCATAAAATACTTTTGCGCAAACACCTCGAGGCGCGATATGCCAAGTATACAAAAATAGGAAAATATGTGATTAACGACTTACGTGCGGCAGCGCGATAACGATATTGGCGTTTCCTTCGCCTCTGTAAATCGCATCTTCCGCAACGAGCGCCGTAAGGGGTAAACTCGTCTCGGAATCGAACGAGGACTCTTCCCTCGGCTCTCCGGCGGAAGCAGCCGTCGTTTCTAAGAAAAACATGATGGGGCTTCGGATGTAACGTTTCGCCGTTTCTCATCAACGTGTGCCGTCACACCTGTAAGCAGACGAAAAAATGCTTCGTCAATATTTTCTGTAATTTTGCGAAAAAATTTTGGCAAGTCTCTTTGCCAATAGTATTATCTTAAGATACGTGTTCCCACACCAATTGTTACGATCGGCGTTGAACGTTTAGAAAGAGAATATAAGAAGCAATTAAGAAAGTCGAGACAATAGCGTTGTATTCCCAAGCAATAACGAAATTTGTTCGTCTAAGGAACCTGGAAATATCCAAGACTATTTTCCAACGTTTGTTAACTTCAACCGACCGTTAAAACTTGTCGACGAGATTGCCAATCACTGAAGAATTAAATGTTGTAATCGAAGAAGACTATTTGATCAGCTATTAAGATTAGCTAAATGTCACTTAAGATGCACTGAGAAACACTTCTATCGAATAAACCAATTAAACGGTGTTTCCGATGGTTGAATTTTCCGATTAAATTACGGATATATATCTGATGAAATTTGATTGAAAATCGATCGTATTTTTCATCGCATATGTCCATAATTTAATTGAACATATCCGCTTGTTATCATGTACTATAATTAGATTATCCGATTATACTTGATCGAACATTTTTCTCCGCGTGACTATTTTTTTAAGGATATGAAAAAACACTTGGAATCGACGACATTCACTTAAAAGCGAGGGGTAAACCGCTGGGGGCATTGTGGTGTACAGATTTGCGGCATTACTGGGCATCACTGGGCATTTTTGGGGCATTAGGCCTTGCTGGGGCATTATAAGGATAAAATAAGATAAAGTAAGATAAAGTAATGCCCAGTGGGCATTAGTAGGCATCGGTGTGCATGATTTTGTTCAGCAGTTTACCCCTCGGTTACAAGTTTCGAAGTTGGATCTTGGAATCTAGATTCTATTCTGTAAAACTGAACGGGCGGTTAACGTTAACCGGACGCTCGCCGCTGAGGTTCTAGAATGAGAGATTGGCGCACATAACACAACTCATCGCCTCGATCGACGAGGCAGTTGCGAATCGGAAAAGTTTTTGCGTCGCAATTCGATATCTTTGTTAGATGTATATCCACGCTGACGTAATACGCGACCGTGCGAGATATCAAGTCGGTCAAGATTTGCGCAGCCATGACATTTCCTTAAGCTCGACTTTGTCGACCGGTAGCGGAGATCGTCGAAGAAAAATCGCTCGCCTCTGGTAACCGGTGAAAGTCGAGCCAAAGGCCGCCGCGGCGTTTTATATTGCCGTGCAATCGTGGAAATTTCAAAAGTCGACCGATCGATTTCGATCCGCTATCAAGATTGCGCGATGGAATGTCGCAACGCTCCGGAGATCGCGATCGGCCGTCACCGCCGTCGATATTAGCCTTCACGGAAGACCAATCGCCGAGGGTTTGGCCTTAACCCCAGCAGGATCGCGTCCTGATCGGCGGAAATACGCGTTCGTGTTCGATCGGCGTCGGAAATACATGTTCCTTTCCTTAAACATTGTACCACGGAAACGGAATTGCGAGTATAACAGTCTTCGTTCCTTGCCGTAAGCTGGGAGCGCAGTCATACAATCTCTACTGACATGTCGTCACGCATGTACAATGCTAATGAAATGGTCAGCGGAGGCAACGCTTTCTCCCGCGCTAGATTCGCGAAACGAATTTGTGTAAAATAGCGGCGCGCGCCCCGCCGTTTGTCTTACCAGCCTTACCGCTTTGCGTTACGTAAATTCCTTATTCAGGAATACGAATTTCTCACACTAGAAACCGCCTCGCCTTCCAGACAGCCGTTCGAAGCCTTTCTGCCTCTAGTGACGTAATTACCCGCTGCCAATGACCACGTAATTGCGACCGCGTGACAGACGTTAAGATACAACACGGACATCGTTGTCTCTCGACGAAGAAAAGAGACTTGCCTATAGTAGGCATAAATGTACGATTCAACGAATCGCTTGATATACACAAAGAGAAAAATATCACTCGTGTACAGTCTTATTCATTAATGCCTGGACCTGCACTTTTATTATCATTTTTCTCATCTATACGACGAGTTCTGGGCTGTATGTATGCACTACCGCACTAATCGTAGGGTCCTCGGTTCGATCCTGGCCCTCGTCCCGCGTAGAAATTTCGAAACTTCAGCGCTCGAAGGTGTTCAAGCGCCTAGCGTTGGATTCAGTGTTTAATCAAGATTAAGCATATGAACGTGAGGAAATTTTTAGAAATATCACGCTGATATAACCTGACGGTTGAAAGGCGTTCCCACAAAAGAGTAAACTTAAGGGATCACAATACTCTAGAGCCCCCCCAAAAAAGCTAACTTTGCGGAAACGAAGCTCCCTCACCCTTTGAGCTGGAACAAAAACCAAAGATTTTTTAAAAATATATAACATTTGCTATAAAACTACGTACGGAAATTGCGAAATACCGTTTTTGTAAAAATGGTGCGTGTTAGAAAAAAAGTTTGATCTTCCGCTAAAAAATTTCGCACAAAAGTGTTTATCAAAACCAAAATTTTCAACTTATCGCAAAATCCGTACGTAGTTCGAAAGAAAATGTTATATATTTTTTAAAATCCTTGGATTTTTATTCAAAGGGTGAGGGAGCTTCGCTTCCGCCCGTGGGGCGACTTCCGCGTTTTGGATCCAAGGGTCTGGCGCTGCCATTTTGTTCAGGAAAAAATTTATAAAAATTTCTTTTATACCTCAATGTATAGAGAATAAATGGTAATAGACAGATTTTCAGTTGCGTTTATCATATTCCTGAAAAAAAATCACCGAAAATTGACTTCCTTTTGAGCTCCAGAGTGTTGTAAGCCCTTTAAAAAAAAAGTACTACTACAGACGTCTATAGAAGCTGTGTGAACTACAGCCTCATCGATGGGAATAAAGATGATGAAAATGTGAATCCTAGTAAAACTGAGGTCCAGGCATTAATGAAGAATACTGTACTAATGAAGAATACTTAGTTATCGCGAACCTTGCTCGCCCGGTGATGCCGCGTTATAGAATCGCGTTACGCTGTTACTCATCGTAAAGTGACGCGCGCTATTACACTCTGACGAATAAATGTCTCTCGTGATGAGTGATTCGATTGGTTACGAAATATCTGGCTGGGAAAAGAAAGGAATCGCTCTCTCGATGACGTATCGATCGTGCGAATTTCGTCAGAAACGTTTCGGAACGAATGAAAACATGATATTAGATAGCGCAGGTAGACATATTAATTTTTATTGAACGTGGGGCTACAACGTCCATTTACTGGTTATTGACGAATAACCTGTTGAATTTTATAGACTCGTCGAGCCTGTCGCGCTGTCCCTCGAGCGGTAATGTAAAAATACGCCCATAAAGTGGTTCTTGTGCAATCGGACGCTTAAAACTGTCAGACCTGACAGCCGGAGTAGCATCTGGAGGGTTCGAGTCGTGCGTCCGATGCCTGGAAAGCGACACTGCCGATTGGTCGCGCTTCGAGAACTCGCGAAATCGCCTGTTCCACGTCGCGCGGTTCCAGTGACCGTCTCGCACGGCTATAGTACGCTTATGGTATACTCTGTACGCTAGACGCGAGACGATGAGTCACGCGAATGAAGTCATTTATGCCGGTAATAAAAAGAGAACTGCGACCGCGAACTTTCGAAAGCGATCGTTAATGAGCACGTTGGCATCGGGATGCAAATATGTATTGCCCAAAATTCAGCCAGAGGCACTTCTGGGGGCAAGTTTTTTCCACACTGGGGAAAATTTTCATTGGAAAAACCAAGTAAATTGTGTTTCCGACGATAATTAATTTTTCCGATTAAGTTACACCCTCAGAAAGGATTTCTGTTACCGAGAGCAAAAATGTTCTTGACGCATTTCTATTTCTCACAACCTCATTTAGTATAAAAATAAGACAGTATCAAAATAAAATCAATAATTCTTATTCCCCTAAATGTAAGTTTATATATTCTTGCGTTTAGAATAAATTTTCCCTCCATCTTACAACGATATTCGACAAGAGACAATACATACTGTCATTTTATTCTAGATTTTAGAATTTTTCATTTAAGACAAAAATATTCCTTTCTCTATAATAAATATGATTGGCGCTATATCGATCCTATTTTATGATACATTCAAGTGTAATAGCATTGGATCCGGAAATTTTTTCAGGTGTATGGAAACATCCGATGAAATTTATCCCATAAAATGCAGTTACACAATTTAATCGGATATATCCGTTTGTTATTATATAATTGGATTATCCGATAATATTTAATCGGACATTTTTCCTCAGTGCAACTTACCCTCAAATCGATGATACCGCGCGGAAGAATCGCGACGTAGAAACGTTTATCGCGCGATATCGCACAATAGGTTGTCGCAATGTGAATGAAAAAATTATGCGCCGTACGCGATCTTCAGTTACGCGCGATGACATTGTCGTGATTCCATCACTGAGAAAAATTTCCATCGGATAAACCAATGAAATAATATTTACGATGGTTAATTTTTTCGATTACATTTCCCGATTAAACTGTGGATATTACGATGAAATTTATCCGATGAGATTTGATTGAAAAACCGATCACATTTTTCATCGGATACACAATTTAATCGGATATATCCGTTTGTTATTATGTAATTGGATTATCCGATTATATTTAAACGTACATTTTTCTCAGTGCAACTTATTCTCAAATCGATGATACCGCGCGGAAATAATCGCGACGTAGAGACGTTTATCGCACGATATCGCCCAATAGGTTGTCGCAATGTGAATGAAATTATGCGCAATGTAAATGAAATTATGCGCCGTACGCGATCTTCAGTTACGCGCGACGACATTGTCGTGATTCCATCACTGAGAAAAATTTCCATCGGATAAACCAATGAAATAATATTTCTGATGGTTAATTTTTTCGATTACATTTCCCGATTAAATTGTGGATATTACGATGAAATTTATCCGATGAGATTTGATTGAAAAACCGATCACATTTTTCGTCGGATACACAATTTAATCGGATATATCCGTTTGTTATTATGT